GAACGTGGTCTCTCATACCGGACGGGGTATGGAGACCTTATGTGTTTTGGCGCCCATACCGGACGGGGTATGAGGACGGCCCGTTTCACCCTCATACCGGACGGGGTATTGAGGTTCATGATTTTGGCGCCCATACCGGACGAGGTATGGGGACAGCCCTGGAATCAGGTTGTAAGGTTAAGGGTTCACGGGTAGCGGGGACCCCCTATGGATCCCCATGGATACTAGTAGACTGGTAAAAGAGGAAAATATGTTGTTTAATGATTGAAATGCAATGGCTTGGTAAATGTTATGTTATACATTTTATATGATTTCATGATGATGATAATGTTGTTGCTTTCATATGTCGTTTTCATGGATTTTACCGAGCTAAGTGAACATTAAAGGTTTTTATATTAATAAACTAGTTCGTTATAAATTATGCTCAATTGCTCATTTTTGTTTTCTACCTACCTTTACTTCCGTAACGGTGAGATAGTGTGATGTCTTTACTGGGCTGGTGTAGCTCATTCCTTATTTAACAATTTCAGATTAGGAAGACATTGTTCCCGAGCCTGTTCCGCAGGAAAACGGCGAAGGGGACGCCTAAAAACTCCATAGTTATATTTATGGTTCTTATCTCGAGTATCTCTTTTACTTAATTTGTTCTTTCATGTTTTGAGTACGTTTTGGTTATTATGTAATAGATGTTAATGAGGAAGCCGAGGCGGAGATAGATCGCGCGACAGCAAGGTTTCGGGGTGTTTCCGGCGCTATTTGGGGCAATTTTGTGACATCCATTCCGGATTTGGGTGCAGATTTGGGTTTTTTGGTAATTTCAAGCCAAATGGAAGTTGTTTGGTGTTTTTCGGCAATGGCGCATGGGTTTCCGACAATGGTGCATACAACGGTGCTTGGTCCCCAAAGGTGAAAGTGAGGTTCTAGTAAAGGCCGTGCATGGAGAGGTACTCTATTTACGCCTAATTTCTGATTTTATTTGCAATGTTTTCCGTGCATCTCTAACTGCTGTGTTTTGGGTGTTCTGTGTGGAATTTTTAATTCTTGTGGTAAAAATAGGTGATAACAAATTCTTTATAAATGAGATAGTCCAAATTTTGTCAAAAATCACTGAACATAAATTGAATGACACCAATTATCTGAAGTGGAGCAAGAGCATTAGAAGCATCTACGCATTATTAATAAGAACGATCACTTGATTCAAGACCCTCCCATTGATGGAAGCAAAGAAGTTTGGTTAAAAGATGATGCACGATTGTTTCTGCAGATTAAAAATTCAATTGACTGTAAGGTAATTGCCTTAATTAATTACTGTGAGTTTGTGAATGAAGTGATATATTATTTAAAATTTTTATATTCAGGCAAAGAAAATATGTCTTGCATGTATGATATTTGGAAGACCTTCTACCGTGCTAAGAAGGAGGATAAATTTCTCTCAGTCTACTTTATAGAATTCAAAAAGACATATGATGAGTTTAATGTACTTTTTTCGTTTAGTACTGCCATCAAGGTACAACAAATCCAAAGAGAGAAGATGACCATGATGAGTTTCTTCGCTGATCTTCCATCTAAATTTGAGATTGTTAAATCTCATATTCTATCTGGTTCCGAGATCATATCTCTTCAGAAAGTTTTCAGTAGAGTGTTACGCACAGAGAGTACTACACTCAATCAACATACTAATGTTCTTGTTGCCAAATGAGGAGGAAGAAATAATAATAGGGGAGGAAATGAAGCAATGGATAATCGGAATAAAAATTTAAACAATATTGTTCGCTACTACTGCCATGAGCAATGACATACAAAGTGGCAAATGCAATAAATTACAAAATCGGAATTAGGGAACACAAACTACTAATATTGCTATTATTGCTACTGCTAACTTCTCTTCTAAGAAAACTATTATGATTTTAGTTGACGAGTATGGAAAATTCTTTCAGTTCCAAGAATTTTTGAAGGAATGTACACCTGTCACTACTTTTGTTGAATCACGTAAAAAATATCTTATCTCCTTCTCAAACAAATGGGTAATTGATTCTGATGCTACAGATCACATGAAAGGTAACCCTAATATCTTATCTAGCTATCAATCATACAAATCATCATCTCCTATAACTATTGTTGAT